GATGCCCGGGCGGGGCAGGGGTGGAGGGGTTTCGTCGGGGCGCGCGGACTGGGCGCGGGTCTGTGCGGTCGACCTCATGGCTTGGCTCGGTGATTCCACAGGCGCGGCCTAGACATGCAGAACGACGCCGGCGAGTTCGTGGATCTGTACGTCCCGCGGAAATGGTGAGTGCCCGGTGCTTCCCCTCGGTCCCGCGGCCCCTTCCCGCCTTCCCCCTCGCCGGCTAATTCTCTTTTCCCATCTGCGGTCCCTTCCACGCGTTGCGCCTTCTTTTCCCAGTTCTGCGAGCAACCGCATCATTGGTGCGAAGGACCACGCATCCATCCAGATGAATGTGGCCGAGGTGAGCAGGGAGTCCGGTGGGGAAGGAGGCCCCGGCTTCTGCATTGTTTCCTAACTCCAGGCTGGAGCGAATGGCCTGAGGAGGGGAGGCGAGCTTCCAGTGTGTTCTCCCTACAGGTTGACAAGGTAACTGGCAGGTTTAATGGTCAGTTTAAAACCTATGCTATCTGCGGAGCCATTCGGAGAATGGTGAGTTTCCCTGGGTTTGAAGACCCCTGCCTCGGCGTGCTGTTTATGTGGGCTGTTGGGCTTGTGATGGTGTCCCTTGCCTTGGAACAAATGGCTGGCAGGATAGGTTCCTTGTTTCTGGCCTTTTCCTGGGGCTCTTAGGCCATGGAAGGCCAGCTCTAAAGACTGAGGGGGTTGGCTGTGGATACTTACCCCAGTCCACCCCCAGGGTGTGGGTAGACTTGGATCTGGTAGTGTGTGCTCTGCCTTTTCCAGCAGGAAGCCCTGTGGGGATACTCAGGGATCGATTTTTTATTTTCTTTTAAACTAAAGGGTGAGTCAGATGATTCTATTCTTCGATTGGCAAAGGCGGACAGCATCGTTTCAAAGTAAGCAGGGATCTTCAAATTTGGGCTGAGTGGCCTGGAACTTCACAAGAGAAAAGGCCTTTAATTTTCTCCTTCTTTCTTTGTTAGGAACTTCTGACCAGAGGAAATTGGGGAATGTTTGTCATAAATAAACAGTGAGAACCACCTGTGTCAGTTCATTCTGCACTTAGGAGGTGTGCGGTCAGGGCTGGTGTTCTGTGAATGGACAACTGGGATGGGGCAGCACACAGCTAGGAGGAGACAAGCTGAGGGATGTTGCAAAACCAAATTTACTTCAACAAGAACAACACTTAACACTGTCCATTTGAGAACAACCTGACACATAAACATTCTGAGGTCAGATACTTAGTATGTTCACGCTGGGTGCTGAGGATGCATCACCAGGTCTGTGTCACTTGGTCACAGTCCAGCTGGACACCTGGAACACAGCTCAGACTCCTAGGCTCAGTCTAGAGGATCTGGGCTTCAGTCTGTCATAGTTACAGATTGGCTTTGTTGTAGCTCTCAGTACCACACAGTGGCAGCTCTTGGTATTAAGGAAGAAGACAGGGTGGGAGGGACCTCCAGGAAACCAGTTTGATAAACGAATAAAACTCCTACATAAACACACAAACTTAAGTTATAGTTAACTACTAGAGGAAGACACCAGGGGCATATCCCCCCAAAGGTGGCTTGTAAACCAGAACAGTGCTCCTGATGGACATGTTTTGGTTGGACTGCTGCCTTGGGTTTAGACCAGCACTCTCTGAGGAGCAGGGGCCTGATCATGTCATCATAAGGATGAAAGGACTCACTTGTGACCTGTAAAATTCCTGTGCATTCAAGTCTTATTAACTCTCTGTGTCTAGGTGGTTGGAGGGGGCAGGCCTGAGGCCATGAGCTGCCACTCATGGTTGGTGGTGTGGTGGTGCTGAATGGCTGCCAGCAAGGGAACTGATGTGTAGGAGCCCAGGCTGGTGTCAGATTTGTAGACAAGGAGGTTGGCTCAGCCAGAATGTCCATTGGGAGGAGTGGGCCCACAAGGAGAGGGTTCTTGGTTTTCCAGTGTTGGTGGGGTAACAAGGTACAGGCCTGGGAAAGCAGATGGTCCCATTTGGTGGGCACTTGGCCTAGGAGGAGGCAGGGTCAGTGCCTTCCTGCCCGAAGGTCAAGTGTGTTTTCAAAGTCGCACATCGGACCAACTTTTGTTCCTTTAGAAACTTAACCACGTCTCAAATTAGGTTTTCACTGTCACAATATTGCTTAAGGAAGTCGAGAGTATGCAGTTGTCCTAAAGGTCCAGTGCTGCAGAGAAAAGGGTTTTTCTGTCAGGAGGCAGGGGGTGGTCCTAGCATGGGAGGGGTTGGGTATGTGAAGGTTGGGTATGTGAAGGGCAGAAGGGCTTCACAGTGGCAGGATGCTTCAGCAGAGGGCCAAAGGTGAGAAGAATGATCAGAGTGGATCAAGGAGGCTGCTCTTGGCACCAAAAGCTGTGCATTTCTTTGAGAGCTCTGCTAGGGTAGACATAGGGCACTAAGAAAGACTATTGGTCTGCACTGCCACATCCGGACAAACGAGGGAAACCTGGCAATTTCAGCATGTTCATAAGATCTGGACACCTAGGTCTCCGTAGGAGTGGTCCTGCAGGGTCAAGTGAAGATAGCTGGCTGGATCTCAGGATTCAGCACATGACGTAAACCAGGCTGGTCCCAGGCACATGAAAAACTAACCAAGCCCCATATTGTTCGTTTAGTTCAAGAAAATTCTCAGAAGTGCCTTTGGAGGTGTGGCGCACTTTGGAATGAAAGCAACTTTCCAAGGAAGCCAAGGAGAGCCCTTCAGGTTGCGAAGGGCAGGTGCAGCACAGGAGAAGCAGGCTGGATACAGGGACACCAGTGGCCTCTGTGTCCTACAAGCTACATGCCTTCCTGCTAGACATCCTGCAGGGCACACCATCCTGGGCTAGAACTGCTGGGTGAGGCGTCTATAGTGAGGTAACACTTGGTTTTCAGGAAGGTACAGGGCCAGTTCCAAAGCCACAAGCACCGTGAACTCAAACCCGATGAGATCTCTCCTGTTGAACCGAAATCTTTCCTCCAGCTTCTGTAGAGAAGGAAAGATCAATGGTTAGCCCCATCCAAGGCCCCACAAGGCTCAGCGTCTGGCACCAGGGTGCTCATGCTGTTTGCCACCTCGCACTCACGTCAATAAGCTGTTTCACTTCGCTCTTGCGAAGATCGCTGCTGATCTTGGCGGCAAGCAGCACGCAGGCACCGGCACACAATTTGCGGTTCTGCTTGTTGAGCTTGCCCTGCAGGACAAGCTTCTCAAAGTACACGTAGGCCATGGACACGGTCACGGGCTCCAAGCTGCACTCTTCAGACAGGTTCCGCATCTCCCGTTTCAAACTGTGGGCAGGATGAGAGCCATGGCCCTGGGGCAGAGTTATGGCCACAAGGCTATGACAAGCACCACCCTTCTATGGCTGTGCTGTGTGCCATGGGCTGTTAGAAAAGGTCCCATGTCCTCTGAGGAGCCAGCCCAGAGCCAGGGTACATGGCTGGGTGGCCAGAGGCAGGCAGGGGACATGCGCCTGGCCTTTCCTTACCTCCTGATTTTGCTCAATGTTAGTTTGATGTGAGGGAACTTCTCCCTGAAGGTCTCATTCATGTCCTTCTTGAGGTCTGCTGGCTTCACATACTCTATCACTGTGGTCTGTAGACATGAACATGTGGAGTGTTTCTGAGGACAAGAAGGCTCAGAGCTTGCCTTCCTCTGGTAGGCCCAGGTGGCCAGGCACCCACCTGGGGCTGAGCCCAGGACAGCATGCTGGGCACGGCTGGCTGTACTGCCTCGCACACTACCTGTGCCTGTGGCTCTGGCTCCCTACCTGCTGCTGCTGGTGTTCTGGGTGCAGACAAGTCACCCTGGGCTGTCTGTTCCGGGTGCAGAGGGAGGCTTACCTGGTTTACTCCCTGAACCCTGAGCCATGTTGGGCTGTAGGCACTCACCATGTATGAGGCAAAGATGAGCACACGCTTGTGCTTCCCACAGGGCCACTGTGGGTCGTCCAGGAGGTTGGGGTTGTACTCTACTGCATCACCCCCATCGCTCCCTGAAAGCAGAGGTAGCTCTTGAACCCCCAGATCCTCACTGGAACTCACCCCACTCCACCCCACCCAAAGAATAGGTAGCAAGGATCCTGGGTCCAAGAGGGACTCCAGGCCAGAGCCAGAATACAGGAAATGACAGAGCTCTTCCCACAGCAACCTGTGTATATGGATCCTCTCCTCTCTTGAGCAGAGCCCAGGGCTACACTGTCTGGAGTCCTTTCCCTCTTAAGGGGCCTCAGTGCAGAGGCATGAATGTGGCTTAGTGCTGCTGTCTGCTGACACATGGTTGTCCCTGGCCTGGCCTGCAGTGCTGCCTTCCCTGTGCCATAGGGAGCGCATCTGGGCTACCTAGTTCTGTGCCAGTTGGTGCTGACTTGGTGGGCACAGGTTTATGTCTTGACCCTGGAGGAGCCCGGGGGACGCTGGGCCGAGGCTGGGGCAGCAAACCATGGTTGTCATTCTTGTGTGTGACCAAAGCATTAGTAGGGTACAGGAACTTCGCATAAGACACGACCTGGAAAAGCAATCATATCAGGGCTCAGTCCTGCTTCTCCAGGTAAGAAGACACAAGCAAGTTCTGCTTCCTTCCGCCCTCCACGAAGCAGCCACAGGCTTTGGCAGGGAGGAGCCAGTGCTACGCTGCTACCTACTTGAAGCTGGTGCTCTCATGTCTCCAGATCCCAGAATACCAGTCCATCCCCAGTCTGGGGTCAGCAGCTGGGCAGCTGTTCCTGCCTTGCAAGACCCTTGGTCCAGAGGCAGGGGTAGGTCTGGAGAGCCCAGGGTGTGTCACTCACACTGGAGGCGGCCACATGTGGTGTACTCTCAGCCCTTCTCAGGGAGCACAGGCAGCTAGTGACAGGTTTGATGGGCTGTGTGGTTCATTCCCCACACTGTGTCTCAGATTAATGTGCAAGGCACCTTCTGGTGCCTGTCAGTGGGTATAACCCCAGGGCTGCTACCACCCGTCTGCCTGGTTCTGGCTCTGCTGGCCATTCGCTGGCTACAGGGCTCTTGCCTTTCCATCAGCTCCCAGCTCAACGCCTTCCAACTCAAAGACCATCTCGGAAGAAACAGAAATGCCGCCGGATGGGTGCCTCTGCTTCTGGCTGTCCACCCTCAGGTCACTGCAATGTATGGGAGAGAGGAGGGCTGTAGTCTCTGTGCCTGCGACCAGTGGGTGGGCACTGGGCAGAAGTGCTACTGGCCACACAGTCCCTTACATAGGAGGCAAAATCCACGGGCATGACCTCAGAGGTACATGGCAGGGAGGTTTACCCTAAGGCTGTCTGTGCCTCTTTCTTGCCCTGTAGAAGATGTTATCTGTCGAAGCACCCAGAAGCCACTGCTCCCTGGGTACCTACCTGAACTCTGGCCCAAATTTGCTTCCTGGGTGCCTCTAACTCTTCCCTTATGCTCACAGGCCTCTGCATCAGGGCTGACATCCTGGGAACTGGCTACCTCCTGCTCTGGACAGGTTTCCCTGTGTCGATTACTGTTCTGTGGGTCACAAACAATACTACCCCACCCCAGCAGCCATTTCCTCCTTCCCTGAATTACACTCAGGACACAATTGCCTGGGCTGGTCACAAGAACATATGAGCATGTCTGAGGGAGGGACAGGAACATCTCAGCCAACCTATATATAGTTTGAACAGAACCTGTGGTCCCCAGAGAATGAGGACCTGAAACATGAGTTCCTGGGCTGTGGTTGTGGTGGCACAGTGTATTTACACCCTATTAGTCTGAAGGACCCAGCTGCACCCAATGGTGGGCAGTACTGATGTTGTGTGAGTTGGGCTCAGAAGGACCAGGGCTTTGGATACTACTGAGGTAGAGGGTTTGAGCTCTTACCTGATCCGTAGGCCTTCTCCATAGGGCAGGACTGAGAAGGCTGCACACAGGGACCGCTTGGCACAGATGAGCACGATCCTGTGGGAGGCTGGGGTCAGAGCAGGGCAGTGATTCTGTCCTGCTATGTTTGGGTGATGAGAAACTGCAGAGCTATCTGAGGGGACTTGATTCAGGGAGCCAGGGCCAACTCTTGGACCTGCCATCTCAGCACTTGGGCTTGATTCTCGAGTGGTACTTAGTATCCCACTCCAGGCATGTTGCTACAGGAGGAGCACTACAGTGCCACTGGGCAGGTCTCCCCTGGCTCTGTGTCAGGGCTGGAGGCTTCATGTCCAGAGCACAGCTCACAAAGGTCAGGCCTTGTCTGCACATGCAGAAGTTACAGGGTAGTGAAGTTGAAGTTCATCAGAGCTAGGCCTCAGTGGTCCAGGGAAAGGTGGGGCCTAATGCCACCAGAAAGCATTCAGATCTGATGCAGAGTTTGCCTTACCAGGAGGGTTAAGACCAGGGCCCCTGGGCATTCAGAGCTATAACCATAGCCTCAGTGAAGTCAGGTGTAAAGGGTGCTTCTCCTGGCCAGGCCCTGCGGTGACAGTCCCCAGAGAGAAAGTGTCCAAGCCTACGGCCATCCCTGGGGATATTTTGAGGGGTGGCCTCCAGTGGGAAGAGGGATTCTGTGAGATCCTCTGGGTCAGAGTGACTGGTAATGTGGGCCACATGCCCAGCCTACTACTACTGCAGGGAGCTGACCATTGATTTGAGTTCAGCCTCCCTTAGCGCCTCCCAACATACCACATTTCCTTCCGTGTTCCCTCAATGCGACCATGTTTCCTCCCATGTGCCCCCCAGTACAACCAAGCCTTATCCTGTGTGTGCCCCGCAATGTGACCATGTCTTCTGTCCGGGCACATGTGGGGTGGAGCCCCAGTTTTGCCTTTCAGTTCTCCTTTCCTGCATCCAACTGGCGGCTCTTCCCTAGGATCGCACAGGAGCAGTCTTGCTGACCCGGCCACACCAGCCAGTGTTCACTCAGTTAAAGTGAAGAACACAAATGCCCACTTCTCACATCAGGGGACAGGTAGTTCACGAAGCAGGGAACCCATGAACTGAAGATGCTGCTGTCAACAAGGGCAGGGCCTGGGCCTCACATGGCTGGCCTGAGGGATATGGCCTGGACCTTCAGGGTAGGGAGCACTATGCGCAGTCCCAGGATGGCCCTGGCCCTGCATGCTGTTACCTGCTGTTCTTCGTGTCATACTGCCTCATGTTCTTGATGAAGTGGGTTTTCTTCAGGCCTTTGTGTCTAGGTGATCCAGATGCATGTTTGGTTCTGTAAGGTAAAAAGCAGATCGTTCTTGCCCTCCTGAGACCCTCTCATGTCCCCAGAGGTCAGAGGCATCTGGAACGCTGGGCCTTCAAGCAGGGGCAGGTGGGGTGAGTACCTCTGTACTGAGGCACATCCCACTGCATCTTCCAGAAATTCGAGGGAGCAGCGTTGAGATGTGACTCGTCTCCTGTAGGGAAGACATCATGGCCTCAGAGGAGATGCTGTTACAGCCAGCCTTCCTGAGCAGAGCTGAACTACTGCTGGGGCTGTGCAGGACAGGGCTGGTGTGGGGCCAAGAGGCTTCAAGAGAAAGTGAGCTGAGACTACAGTGCAGGAAGGAGCTGGGTCCCTGCCACAAGATTCGCAAGCGGAATGACAGTTACAGCAGAGCTGCAAGGTCAGGCTCCTGGAGGCCAAGAGACATGGCGAGGGAAGGTAGCAGCGTCTGCAGCTCTCTGAGTCTGAGGGCTGCCCTGAGGCCTCTGCCTACTGAGAAGTCTGTGTCAGGCTCCCTGAGAGGATAGCCACGTGAGGAGCCCCATGCTGAGGCTGCCCTTGAGAATAGGGGTGGGGGTGGGGGGTGTCTACACCCAGATTCAAGGGGTTTAGCTTTCCACCTTTCTTCTTCTATTATTAGATAAGTGGTATATATTCTTTCTATAGTTCTTTTAATTTTTTTAAAAAGTATTTTTAAAAAATTAACTTTTTTTTTGTCTTTTTGAGACAGGGTCTCCCTAGTCCCAGCTGGCCTGGAACTCACTATGTAGACCAGGCTGGCCTTGAACTCACAGAGATCCACCTGCCTCTGCCTCCCGCCGGCTGGGATTAAAGGCGTGTGCCACCACGCCCAGCGGATCATTTTTTCAAAAAAATATTTTTATTTTATGCATATGTGTATATTCCCTTGCGTGTATGTAAGCGTACCCATGTCGTGCAATGCCCACGGAGGACAGAAGAGGCTGTCGAATCCCCTGGAACTGGAGTTGCGGACAGTTGTTAGCTGCCATGTAAGTGCTGGGATTCAAACCTGGGTCTTCTTCAAGAACAGTCAGTGTTCTAAACTGCTGAGCCATCTCTCCAGCACCATTATTCATTTTTTTGGAGATAAGGTTTTACTGTGTAGCCCTGACTGGCTTGGAACTCAGAGATCTGCCTGCCTCCTAAGTGTTGGGATTAAAGGCATGGGCCACCATGCCCAGATTATTTATAATATTTTATTTATTATTTTATGTGTATGAGTGTATTGCCTGCATGTATGTAAGTGCACCCATGTTGTGCAATGCCCATGGAGGTCAGAAGATCCCCTGGAACTGGAATTACATGGGTTGTTAGCTGCCTTATGGGTGCTGGGAACCAAATCTGCGTCCTCGGCAAAAGCAGCCAGTGCTCTTAACCGCTGAGCCATCTCTCCAGCCCCTATTTATTT